GAATGAATACTTCAAGCAACAGAAACGTTAATGAGGGTTCACTAAAGTTGAAGAACAAATATTGCAATGCAAATGTAGTTGGAAGTGCAATGTGAAAATTTCAAAATCAGCCAAGAATCCAGCCATCCAGGTAAACTGTATTTTAGTGTGCGAACACAAATAACCACTGCGATTTTTTCAATTTTTGGAACCTAAATGATGATGAAATGGCGTGCCACAAGGAAGTGGAGGTTGAGAGAGAGGGCATCAACATAATGTAATGAAGGATATGCAAGAAGTAGTTTTACAGAAATTTGATGCAATAAAAAAAAAAGATGGCTAAGCTTGATGACAGAGAAAAGAAGCTAAATGAAACAAAAAAAAAAAAAAAAAAAGGATGGCTGAGCTTGATGACAGAGAAAAGAAGCTAAATGAAACAATGCATAAGTTGGAAAATAAGGGGAAAAAAAAATTGATGTTGCCTGAGCTAAACCCATGTATTCCAAAGCAAGTCCAATTATATTTGTGATAGATTTCTTGGCGGCAATGTACGTTAAGAAAATATGAGTTCTAGTGAACTTCGAAAAGAAATAAAGCAGATTATATACTTCATAGTAGATTAGACAAACTCATTATAAAGTTCAATACTATTCCATTTAGTAAAGTAGTTATAAAATGTCATTGCACATAAAAACTATTAAACTACGGTATTTGAATTCATAGCTTTGACGAGATTGTAATATTGTTGTGTAATCAAATACTGAACATAAAATTACAACCTATTGTCATATGACAAATCCTATGAGACAGATTGTCAACACAAAAGAAAGTTTAATATGATTGGATGGCTGGCTCATGTAATGCTCTGGTAGATGCTGATTGGATGGCTGGCTTGTGCTGGTATGCTGATTTTGTTCATGCAAAATTCTTACCAAAAATAATTAAGAAAGTTTAATATGAAACAAGCATAAGTAAGGAACCATTATTCAAACTATATAAGGGTATTGAATATTTAATTACCTGGTTTCTCTTTCTCTTATTTAGAGAAGATGGAGGTTGTTTGCATCCTTTTGTGTTTTGTCCAAGTTGGCCACAATTTCCACAGACCACAAGATAAATAAGATGTCCAAAATAAATAAGAGGTTTTGTTTACGATTCAAATTATACGTGAGCCTTTTTGTAATTTCACCCTTAAAAATAAACATTTTTTAAGATAACGTTCACTTTTTTTCCCGTCAATTAAATAGCATTGATATTGACTTGTAATATAAACGATTCAATATTTATTATGATGTTAGTGAAAATATAGAAATCACCATCTTCTGCCATTATAATTACCACATTGCATCACATAATTATAAGTTTTTCTCGCAAAGTATTTGGTCTAAATTTGGTTTACTGGACTACCAAAGTCTATTAATGAACTGGTTAAGGGATACAAGTTCGCTTCATTTTTTTTCTCTAGTTGGAAAAATATTTGGGGCTGAAAACAGACCAGTTTGCATGCTAAAGTGCAACTCATGGTCAGGCAGGTCAACCACTGCCACGTCACCCCGAGAATCACGAAAGCTTGATTGTGTTTAAACACAAAGTACAGCTGCCTACTAATTTACTTCACCTCCATTAATTACTTGTATTAACCAAAACCAAAGACGTTTTTGTGTTCTCGAGATACGATATTCCCGTTTGCTTGTCTTATTGATAATAATAATTATTATTATCATTATTTGATTTTTACTTGTTTTAAGATAATTTTATTATGGTTATCTCGAACTAGAGTCCTTCTCCTCTAATCCGACAAATTTGTAGATATATTTGTCATATATAATATATACTGAAGTTTTGTATATAAAAACACGTCTCTTATCTGAAACTATAAAGTATAAATACACCATTATAACCTTTTTGATATTTAAGTCACCTGTATGTATTTAAAAAAGTGTAAAATGATTAATAAATCAAAGTGTATAAATTATTAATTAGAGTAGTAGTTTGGTGTAAAATGTGTTCATTATTCAACATATCTCTTTATCCTAGCCTTTCGCCTCTCCCTTTTTAAATTTATAGAGCTTTATATCGCTCATGTGGTGGCGGAAATGGACAATAATCATCACTTAACTTCAGCTTGTTTACCTAATGGGTGGTTGTCTAACTGTTTCTAAGCATATGTTTGACCAATATTGGACATTCCTTTTCATTTTAGGCTATCTTTATATGGGTATTGAACCTTAAATTTTATCCCAACATTTAAAAAATAAATAAATGAAATGATCCTAAATTTGTTTGGTTTCTTATTGAACTCTTTTATTAGCAGAATATAAGTACAGTTATACCTTAATAAATTCAATAAATTAATAATCCCGATTAAATAATGTTTTTAGCCCGTCTCAACTTGGGATCAACGTGACAATTTAATAATTCGCTAAATTTATAAAATAATATTAAAAAAAAAACAAATGGTTCCACTTAATATGTAAATTAATTGTCTTCTTATACATCAAAATTATATATGTATGACTCAATTAGGAGACCTTTGTAAAATATGACTCTAATATTACTTGTTTCTTCTTGAAATCGATGTCTTCTTTGAACCTTATCTCTAACAATTTCCTATGGAGTATAGACTAATTTATATGCCACATTAATTATGACTTATTCTCTATACCACATTAACTTTCGGCTATAAGCTAGATTCATGATGTTATTTCCAACCGTCATTCCTTATACTATATTGACTTTATATAATATGTACATACATTAAGTTCAGGTGTTTTGGAAAAAGAAAATAAAGAATGCTTAAAAATTAAAAATTTAGTAATTTATAAGATTGGATAATATATCAATTAATTATAAATTTTCATGATACCAGGAATATTAGTTTATCAAAGTTAGAACTGTATTAAGATTCCTTGCCATAAAAAACATCATAAAATATGTAAAATTAAAGTAATAAATGCATAATTTATAAATAAGATCTAGGATGATTTTTTTTTTTTTTTTTTTTTAATTCATCTAAGTAAAGGACCATTGCTTACCACTTGGCACTTCCTCCTTTGCCTTCACACATGAAATTAAATAGATGCAAACAACTTGATAGAGCTAAGAGTAAAAATATAATGAAATGGATATGGAGACTAAATTCTTATTGTTAATTATATTTGTTATCAAGGCAGCCGCGTTTATTTGATTTTGGAATTTATGGTGGCTTTAACCTTTGCAGTGAGCCAGTGAAAGCATTTATATGAAAAGTCAACTTCAATAAATATGGGTTAGGTTAAAATTATCCCGAAAGGTTCAAAAACATTATTAAAAGAATGTTCAAATGGGAATTTCACATTATAAGTAAAGGTAAAATTGGAATTAACATTAATTCCACTTCTCTACAAACAACCCAAAAATTCAAATTAAACGATCCATTTCACATTCAAAATCAATTAATCTTCTTTTAATACAGATCAAAAATAAAAAATGAATTCCCAAACCGAAATCTCTAAAGTCTAAAAAATCGAAGTCAAGTAAGCTTAAATAACACGGTGAAAAATCAACAATAGTGATTTGAGGTTGGCTTAAGCGTCGAGCTTCAAAATGAAAGAAGAAAAAGAAATGTGATGAATGCGTTGTTGCTAAGGCTATCGATAATTGTGGCAATGGCCTTGCCATTAGCAACCGAGTATCGGTCGCCACCATATTTTTCAGATTTAGAGTTCAATGGAAAGAAATGAGTGGGGAAAGGAAGAAAATAAAAATAAAAGAAAAAGGAAAGGAAAAAAATAGATTATTATAAATTATAATAAAGGTATAATATACATTTCATATTTTACCAAAAATAAATTAAAGAATTCCATTGGTATTTGTTTGATAATTTCTGAAACCTTAAAAATAACTCAATAATGATATAGAAAATAAAAGGAGGTAGTTATGGGTCAATAATGAGATGTACAACACAACAATGAATTAAATTGAACAACTCAGCTAAATGAATGCACCAATCAATTAAAAGTGTGTACAACTTAAGTCTTTACGTTTTGAATATGTACCCATTGGTGATGGTGTGTACAACTTAAGTCTTTACGTTTTGATTATGTACCCATTGGTGATGGTGGATGAGCAATGCTACGTTAACAATTACCTCTTACAAACCTCTCTTACAAACCTAATGTGTTAATATATTAGTGTTATTATGTTATCTTCCATTCTATCCAAGACATCCAAACACTACGATAAACACACGGTCATTCCTGGAGAAGGAACGGTCATCTCCTACGAAGGAACGGTCATCTCCTACGAAGGAACGACTGTTCCTTGAGGGAACATGGTTGTTCCTTTAAGGAACAACCGTTTCTTCTCTTCTCTTCTCCTTTCTTTCTTCTCTGCTTCTTTCTTCTTCTTAATTCTTCTTCTTCTCTCTTCTCCTCTTCTTCTTCTTCTTCTTTCTTTGAGAAATGAAGAAACGACTGTTCCTTCCATGAGAAACGGTCATACCTTTATAAAAATCAACCATTCCATAGGTCTAATTAAAATCATTTCCTATCGTGGGTATGGTGGAGCTGTCGTGAGTGTCACGTCAGCGTTGTGGGAGAGAGTTGTTGGCATTGTTTTATTTTTGGTGGATAGCCATCCATTTTTTTGGTAAAAAATAAAAATAAAAATTTATTTCTAAGTTCTGATTTTGTTTTTACCTGTGACGTTTGACAATTTAGCCATCCTTTTACTTATATTGTCAAAAATGATAATTCTTTACCCTTTTTTTTTTTTTTTCTCATTAGGAAATCACATTTCTTTCAAGTTATTAACCAAATACTTGGCGGGCAAAACACGGTTCCGGATAGGCAGTCGTGCTCTCAGGTCATAAGAAAAATTTTGAAAACGAAAAAGCAATCACGTGTTGCACCCGCCAAACCGAGGCCAAAACAGTAATTTAACGTCAACAAATGACGCTCCTCTCTGGCTCTCTCTTTTTCCATTTTTATTTTTATTTTTTTTACTTGAAAATGAGCGCGCGAAAACTTGTCGAATCTCCCGCGCCTCCGTCACCAACTCCTCTTCCTTTATTTTCACGCCTCTCTCACTTATATTAGTCCCCCTCTTTCGCTCAATCAATCTCTCTCAGCTTTAGCTCAACAATGCACCGTCACCAGCCTCACATTTCGCCGTCCTCCACCGACTTCTCCGCCTTCGACTTCAACCTCCGTCCCTCCAAGCGACGCGGCAGTTACAACTGCGGCCGCTGCGGACTCCCCAAGAAAGGCCATAACTGCAACGTTGATGGCACTCCGACATCATCGTCCACTCCTTCCGTTACCACTACGCCCACACCTTCCGATTCTTCCGCCGGTGTATCCGCTCCCACTTCACTCTCCGCCAACCGCCCGCCGCGTCACCAGCACTTCTCACACCTCCGTCGAGCTCTTTCGTTTGATAATATCGATCTTAGTTGTGATTCACCGGAAGAACTGGAGTTAGTGAACGAGGAGCCGGTGGATCCGGATCCGATTGTGTCCGGCGGTTTGCCGGCGGCGTGTTTGTGGGAGGTGCTGCGTAGGTTGCCTCCGGTGGGGCTGTTGGCGGCGGCTAAGGTGTGTAAAGGATGGAGAGAAACGTCGAGGAGGCTGTGGAGGGCGGCGGAGGAGCTCCGGCTTAGGGTGCCGGCGAGAGCTCAGGTCGGATTTGTTGGATCCGTTTTGCAGAAGTGTCCCACCCTTGTTAGACTCTCACTTAGAATGGAAAGGTTAGGGTTCCGGGCCATTACAGTTTCAAATTACCAGATCTGCTAAATTAGACGATGAAAATGAATAAAAATGATGATGATCTGGAAACAATTGGAAGAGAAAGTGCATGGTACTGTTTGATCTATGGATATTAGTACAGGAACAGTACGGGTACTGTTTGGCTTATGATTGAAATTTAAAATCAAATGCCGTGGATTATGTTAAAAATCAATCCTAACACAACTTGGTTTAAAATTTGAAGATCTTTATTAATTATTGAAAAATTAGAGAATTACCTAAAAGATCAGAGCAATCAAAGATCGTTGATAAATATTATCGAAAAGAGTGTAAGGATTGAGTGTTGATCTGATATTTTCTTTTTTTGAAGTTTAATTCTTTATTGGGTGTTGCAGTGATGTAGATGCAACAATGTTAGCGTGCATTGCGTTTTCTTGCCCTAATCTGGAGTGTATGGAGATCTCCACATCTGATACTGCAGTCAACCGGATCACTGGGTATAATTTATAATCTTTTTTTATAAAGGTTTTTTTATGTTTAAATTTGTTGTTTGAACTTGGTATATTGAATTTTCTCTTTTGATGTTAAGCTTATGGAGTGTGTTTAGGTTGGGTTCCTAGATCTTAGAAATAGTCAAATGGGTTCCAACTTCCAATTGTAGTGTTTGGCTGAAAATGATCTGCATGTTTAAGAGTGAAATTATTAAGATAAGGCTTGGGTGTAAGAGATTTCAAAATGAGGGATCACTTGGTATTTGGAATTAATAGGCTTTTAACTATCCATCTTTTATTAGAAGTGTGTATGAAGTAGGTGAGATTTAATGTCAACACGTCAAAACGATATAAGATGTTTTTCTTCCTGATCTTCGATTTTGTACAATTGCCTACACAATATATATATATATATTTTTGGTTGTAATGCATTATGTGATTTCAGATTTGACAGTATCACACAATGCCTTCTGTGATGATTCCTTACACATTTCAAGTTGTTAAGCCTCTGAAATAGTTTAGTACTTACAATTTGGAACCTTTTAAATTTTGGGTTCTCTTCTAAAACATCAAATAATGTATTGACCATTAGGTTTTTTATAATACTTGCTTTACCTTTGCTTTGTGTAAGAAATCGCTGGTCTGATACTATTTGAAAGGTGTGTACTTGATTAAATCTGTTTGGTAATTGTTTTTCATATGTAGAGATGAATTGGGTCGTTTTGTTGCTGATAAACGATGTCTTACAAATCTTAAGATGGAAGGGTGTTCTAATTTAGGAGGGTTTGGCCTCTGCTCCTCAAGTCTTTCTACGCTTTGGCTTTCAGATCTTAACTCCCTCTCTAAGATGGTAACTAGTCTTTTTATTCTCTCTCGAATGGCAAATTAGGCAAATTCTTATTTACCATATCAATCTGTCTTTATGCAGGTCTTCAACTGTCCCAATCTAAAGGAGATATCTATGGAATTTTCTCGCCAAGAGAATGATAGTACTGATCTTACTGCCATGGCTGATGGATTGGTGAGGAATTGTCCAAGGTTGCAAAACATACACATTGCATCAACTCGACTTTCTCATGCTGTTGTGCTTGCCATCACAGCTGCAAGCTTAAGGTTTGTCAATTATCTGTTAATTGTTGTTGTCAGTCATGTTGCACATTCACTCGATGACAAAATATGGAAATTACAATCAGTCTTACCTCATTTACCTTTTCAGTTAACTAGTGGTTTTATGTATACACTTATATAGCTATTTGAAGAAAGAATAATTATTGATTAAAGAGTTCTGTCATTCAGGGGGTTGCGAATGCTTTCACTTGTACTTGGATCTGAAATTACTGATGCATCTGTTGCTGCCATTGCTTCAACCTATTCAAAGTTGGAATTACTTGATCTGAGCGGGTAATTTTGTTTATTCCGTCTTCTTTAGAATAATAGTTGTGTCCATAAGGTAAGCTTTACTGTTGTATGTTTAATATCACCACTTCAATTGCAGGTCTAGTATCAGTGACAGTGGCATTGGAATGATCTGCAATGTGTTTCCCAATACTCTGTCAAGACTCCTCCTCGCTCTTTGTCCTAACATTACTTCAAGTAATCTCCATTTCCTCGCTCTAATCGATGGCATAATTGAATTCTATAATGTATCGTGTGTATTCTTTTTCATTTTAACTTATGCTAACTATCGTGCTGCTTGGACCTCTCAGGTGGCATTCAGTTTGCTACAGCACAACTACCTCTTCTCGAACTCATGGACTGTGGAATGTCCATATGTGATCCCAATTCTGAAAACAGAAACTCTGATGAGGCCAGTGAATTTGAGTTACAGAGTGCCTTCAATAACAAACTACATATTATGTACCAGAAGCTGATTATTAAACATTGCCGCTTAAAAAAACTAAGCTTGTGGGGTTGCTCTGGATTAGATGTAAGATCTATATAAAATTCAATTTGTGTATACCTACATATTTTTGCTCTGGTGGTTCTTAACTTGTGTATTTAAATGCAGGCTCTATTTTTAAACTGTCCGGAACTCAATGATCTGAATTTGAATTCCTGTAGAAACTTACGTCCAGGTATGGTACTTGAAGTTGCTCTCTCTTTCTCTTGAATTTGATGATCAATTTGAACAATGGCGTAGATTGAGTTAATCTAACTTGTGTCAACATATTCAGAGACGCTGCTACTTCAGTGCCCCAAGTTAGAAAGTGTGCATGCCTCAGGGTGTCAAGAGTTAATGATTGGGACCATTCAGAGCCAGGTCAATGGTGATTCTGCTGCTTTGGAGAATCAATATGCATTCAAACGTTCAGCCGATGGTTCAAAGAGAGTTCGGTTGCCACATTCTTTTAGTCAGGTAAAATAAAAAAAATTGTCTCAATGCAAAACCTGTATTTGGATGTAGGAAAGATAATACTTGTAGTACAAGATAAATTCTAAGTTGTAAACGACAATAACCATCTATATTATGATTTATTTATCAGCATCAAGAGCTTCTCCTTGAGTATCTATATTATAAGATATAAATTATACGAATTTCGGGAAATAGTCCTAATTCCATAATAAAAAGTAATTTGGTTGATTGTCAATAGCATCTTATGTTACGTTATTTTGTTGGCAGCAACCATCTGATGATGACATGAAGCGAAGGAGGGTTGGAAGACGGCAATGTAACATTCTTGTGGACTGATCCAAAATTTCTTTAGGACACCATTCTTTCTGTACACATGGTGCAAATTCTTGTTTGTTGTGATGTTAATTTACAGAGGTTATGACCTGGATGGATGAAAATGGTTATAATTGTTTAAATTGCTGGCTAGGGGGGCAGCTGCCTTGTAGAAATACATTTTCGCAAACACAAGCGAGGTTTTTAGTCATATTGGGAGAAACTTGGATGACCAACTTTGATCTTTGGATTTTAATTGGTTGCCCAATCTTTAAAAATAAAGGCTTATAATTTTATCACATTCCCTCGTCTCTTTTAAAATTTCTACTGTATGCGCAAAATAGGTTCATGCTGAAGCCTTGGCTTTTGGAATCGATTGGTAAAACATAATCAACTTAGGGTGAAGCTTGATAAAGTTGTCAAGTCTTCAGTTTCACTAGTTTGAACACCCAATCAAATTGGATGTTTAAAAGTTTAAAATTTAACAAATATATCTTTAAAAATTACGATTAAATCTTTATAGGTTTGAAATTTAATAAATATATTTAAAATATAAATTGGTGATTGGTTGTTGTCGGCGGCATATCAAATGCAATTCTAATTACCTTTTAAGTCATTTCCTAGAAAATCTATTTAAGATGTGATGGAAGTGTCGAAAACCCAGTCAAGTCTCACCATTGTTGTACTGTTTTAAAACTAGACTCGAGAGATGACTTGGTTAGCTGATCAGGTCCCAAGTTTATCGGTCAATCAGTTCGATCGATGACGTCCCAGTTTTGAATGACAAAAATACTCTTATATATTTGTGGGTTTACTTCATAAACCAAGAGTAATATAGTTAAAAAAAGAGTGATGTTTTCGAAGAAATAAACCAAGGTAATAAGGTCAAAAAGGGCGACGTTGTTTTCAAAGAAATTAAAGTGATTGATCAGAAAATTCATTAATGGCGGTGATATGACATGTTATACATTCAAGATCTAGTGATAAGGTTATTTAAATCTTGAACATCTTTTAGAATATGTTAAAGGTTAAAATAGAAACAAAGGAGGTCATAATTTTTTTTTTTAATCGAAAGTGAAAACAATCGGGTTTGCGTGAGAAAATGGTTTCTCAGATAATTTTCAGTGAGATCCAAGCATGTAAGGTCTTTTTACTTGGTTGACAGAATTTCAAGCTTTATTCTATTTCTTTAGTTGTTGTATGTCTAGAAGTTTATAGAGACAAATGAGATTTTGATTGAGATTTTAATTGGATTTTGATGAAGAAAAAGAAGAAGAAGGTGAAATCTGGCTCTACTCCGAGATTGAAGAAGGTGATAGAATTTCAGGCGTTATTATATTTCTTAAGTTGTTGATTTTGTTGGAGATTTAGGATTTGGATTCAATGTTCTTTAGAGTGAAGAATGAAGATTGAAGATGCAGAATTGGAGATTGAAGGATGCAGAGAAGAATTTTCGTCTATGGCAATGGACAATACTCGTTGTCATCTAGATGATTGATGATTTTGTGGCATTTTGTATGGGTGCAGCCCCCAAAAAGTAGAATATGTAATCTCATTGCCTTTTTCATTTTTCTATTTTGGGTCGTTTGTTTATTAGTTCGGATAAAATTTTGAGAATAATATTAGGTAATTGAATAAGGGAGAATTATGATGTAAAATTTAAAAATTTATAAAAACCTCTTAGGTTTGTTAATTTAATAAATATCTCAATATATAAAAATATTGTAAAATGATAAAAACATCTCCACCATATACAGTGTCAGATTTTGACTACTATTGTCAGAATTTGGTATGAAAATTGCGTAACGACACATACCAATCGGATCTGGCTGGTATGGCGTCGATATGACATTTTCTGATTAGATCTACCATGGATCTGGCCGGAAAAGGTTAGATCTACGGTCAGATGTGATCGTCGATGATCGAAAAAGGCCAAAGAAGTCCATCTTTGGCTGTTAGCGATGTCCAAAGATATGGCTGTCGTTATCGGTCAACGATGACTAAGATTTGACCGTCGTTGATGTTTCTTTGGCCATCACTGACGACCAGATCTGTCTGGAAAAGGCCAGATCGGTGAATTATCGGTCATTTTCGGTGGTGGTGTAGACCGTTGTGACAGATTCCAGCTACCACCGGCTGTGGTTGTCGGAATCTAACAAGTATGGGTGGGGGGGGTGTTTTTATTAATTTTTAAACTTTTTTCTAGGGGTATTTGATGAAATTAATAAATTTAAGGGGTCTAAAAATAATTAAAAAAATAGACTAATATTTCTCAAATAATGTGCCAAATAATACTTAGGGAATAAGATTGGAAATATGGGTAGAAATAATAAAACAAACGGAGCCTAATTTTTTAAATTATTGCAGCCATTAACTCATTGCCATATGATGTTTTTCTAGACTTCTATTTTATTTTCCTTGTTAAATCATGTTCATGTTACATGTTGAAAAATTTCCTTAATCTATCAGCAGATGTAATACCTAAGATGTTAAAGGTATGTTCCTAACTCAAAATAGTCCTTTAAATGTTAATTTTATGTTAAAAAACATAAAATCTAACTAAGGGCAAAATAGTCAATTCATTTGGAACGGTATGAATCAATTATCCATAGAAAGGCTTAGGGGCAAAATGGTTATTTTGCCTATGGATAAGCATTGAAAAAGTCAAGGATAAGTAAGCTTCATTGCATTTAATGGCATTAATTAAGTTCACGTTTTGAATATGTACCCATTGTGATGGTGTGTCCTTAATCTTTACGTTTTGATTATGTACCCATTGGTGATGGTGGATGACAATGCTACGTTAACAATTACCTCTTACAAACCTCTCTTACAAACCTAATGTGTTATATATTAGTGTTATTATGTTATTTCCATTCTATCCAAGACATCCAACACTACGATAAACACAGGTCATTCCTGGAGGGAACGGTCATCTCCTACGAAGGAACGTCATCTCCTACGAAGGAACGACTGTTCCTTGAGGGAACATGGTTGTTCCTTTAAGGAACAACCGTTTCTTCTCTCTCTTCTCCTTTCTTTCTTCTCTGCTTCTTTCTTCTTCTTAATTCTTCTTCTTCTCTCTTCTCCCTCTTCTTTCTTCTTCTTCTTTCTTTGAGAAATGAGAAACGACTGTTCCTTCCATGAGAAACGGTCATACCTTTATAAAAATCAACCATTCCATAGGTCTAATAAAATCATTTCCTATCGTGGGTATGGTGGAGCTGTCGTGAGTGTCACTCAGCGTTGTGGGAGAGATTTGTTGGCATTGTTTTATTTTTGGTGGATAGCCATCCATTTTTTTGGTAAAAAATAAAAATAAAATATTTCTAAGTTCTGATTTTGTTTTTACCTGTGACGTTTGACAATTTAGCCATCCTTTTACTTATATTGTCAAAAATGATAATTCTTTACCCTTTTTTTTTTTTTTTTCTCATTAGGAAATCATTTCTTTCAAGTTATTAACCAAATACTTGGCGGCAAAACACGGTTCCGGATAGGCAGTCGTGCTTCAGGTCATAAAAAAATTTTGAAAACGAAAAAGCAATCACGTGTTGCACCCGCCAAACTGAGGCCAAAACAGTAATTTAACGTCAACAAATGACGCTCCTCTCTGGCTCTCTCTTTTTCCTTTTTATTTTTATTTTTTTTTACTTGAAAATGAGCGCGCGAAAACTTGTCGAATCTCCCGCGCCTCCGTCACCACATCCTCTTCCTTTATTTTCACGCCTCTCTCACTTATATCAGTCCCCCTCTTTCGCTCAATCAATCTCTCTCAGCTTTAGCAACAATGCACCGTCACCAGCCCCACATTTCGCCGTCCTCCACCACTTCTCCGCCTTCGACTTCAACCTCCGTCCCTCCAAGCGAGCGGCAGTTACAACTGCGGCCGCTGCGGACTCCCCAAGAAAGGCCACAACTGCAACATTGGTGGCACTCCGACATCATCGTCCACTCTTTCCGTTACCACTACGCCCACACCTTCCGATTCTTCCGCCGTGTATCCGCTCCCACTTCACTCTCCGCCAACCGCCCGCCGCGTCACCAGCACTTCTCACACCTCCGTCGAGCTCTTTCGTTTGATATATCGATCTTAGTTTGTATTCTCCGAGAACTGGTTAGTGAACGAGGAGGCGGTGGATCCGGATCCGATTGTGTCCGGCGGCTTGCCGGCGGCGTGTTTGTGGAGGTGCTGCGTAGTTGCCTCCGTGGGGCTGTTGGCGGCGGCTAAGGTGTGTAAGGGATGGAGAGAACCGTCAAGGAGGCTGTGAGGCGCGGAGAGCTCCGGCTTAGGGTGCCGGCGAGAGCTCAGGTCGGATTGTTTGGATCCGTTTTGCAGAAGTGTCCCACCCTTGTTAGACTCTCACTTAGAATGGAAAGGTTAGGTTCCGGGCCATTCACAGTTTCAAATTACCAGATCTGCTAAATTAGACGATGAAAATGAATAAAAATGATGATGATCTGGAACAATTGGAAGAGAAAGTGCATGGTACTGTTTGATCTATGGATATTAGTACAGAAACAGTACGGTACTGTTTGGCTTATGATTGAAATTTAAAATCAAATGCCGTGGATTATGTTAAAATCAATCCTAACACACTTGGTTTAAAATTTGAAGATCTTTATTATATTTGAAAAATTAGAGAATTACCTAAAAGATCAGAGCAATCAAAGATCGTTGATAATATTATCGAAAAGAGTGTAAGGATTGAGTTTTGATCTGATATTTTCTTTTTTTGAAGTTTAATTCTTTATTGGGTGTTGCAGTGATGTAGATGCAACAATGTTAGCGTGCATTGCGTTTTCTTGCCCACATCTGGAGTGTATGGAGATCTCCACATCTGATACTGCAGTCACCGGATCACTGGTTATATTTTATAATCTTATTTTTAAGGTTTTTTAGTTTAAATTTGTTGTTTGAACTTGGTATATTGAATTTTCTCTTTTGATGTTAAGCTTATGGAGTGTGTTTAGTTTGGGTTCCTAGTAGTCAAGGGGTTCCAACTTCCAATTGTATGTTTTGGCTGAAAATGATCTGCATGTTTAAGAGTGAATTATTAAGATAAGGCCTGGGTGTAAGAGATTTCAAAATGAGGTCACTTGTTATTTGGATTAAGGCTTTTAACTATCCATCTTTTATTAGAAGTGTGTATGAGTAGGTGAGATTTAATGTCAACACTTCAAAACGTATAAGATTTTTTTTTCTTCCTGATCTTCGTTTTGTACATTGCCTACACAATATATATATAATATTTTTGGTTGTAATGCATTATGTGATTTCAGATTTGACAGTATCACA